GCTGAAAATATTTATTCTAAACCTTTCCTTTGAGGCTTTTCTTGTTTTATCTCTGGAAGCTGCATGGTATTTATCCCTTCCAGTGCTAGTAAACTCCTTCAGTTTTTCTTTCTCATTAAATTATCAAACTGCATTTTGGACAGACAGGAAGTGTGAGAATGTGGTTCATTGGTCTGTTCTGGCATAAGGCAAGTTATTTTAGTGATCAATACTAGGATTTGAGTGGTTTAGGGAGGAAAAAGTGTCTCACTTCTGTCTCGAAGATACACTTGCATTTTAGAATAGACGTGCAAGGCTAAATGTCCTGTATTTTGTAAATAAGTATTTCCGTGGACACAGAGGGTATACCTGTTGCTAGTCTGTCAAATGACTGTGTTTATTTGAGGAATTTTTGGTACTGGTATTTAAAGCTTAGTTCACACCAAGTGCCGTTTGGAGTTGCAGAGCGGGAGCAAGGGGCTGTCTGCAGCTTGGAGTCGGGTACTGCCACCTGCTGATCCGAACTCAAAGCGCACCGCTTACTTCCCGAATGCCCTTTTCACGAACACACTTTAAAATCCTCAGTGGGGAAAATTAAGGAGTCGTTACTGACTATCAATTCCTCTTGTATAGAAATAGCTAGAAAAAGATTTTGAGACTCCTGCTTATTAAGCTGTCTGCTGGAAATTCTCAGGTGTCTGCGTGTTCGTAAAGTGCAACCAGAAGCTGTTACTTCACAACCTAACAAGGGTGGGCCCCTGCTTCCTCACTTACCTTGTGACACAGGTGACCATTTTCAGTGCTCTTGAGGACTCAGGTCCTTATATTTCTCCCATAAACAGAGTCTCTTGCAGCAAAGTGAATAACAACTTTCTTAAACCGTTCACGTGCAAGCACTGTTGTTGAAAAAACTTAATGATGAGGTGTCTTTATTTTTTCCTTCCCTCCCCCCCTCCCCCCAAAGGCTTTGGGAGTTTCCAGTCAAAACAGGTGTCTTTATTTTTTCCTTCCCTCCCCCCCCCTCCAAAGGCTTTGGGAGTTTCCAGTCAAAATGACCGATCGACAATAAAGAAAAAAATTAAGGATATTAGAAAAACACAAGAAAAACTGGAAAAGCAGAAGGAAAAGGTTCAAAAGAAGGAGAGAGAAGTTCGCAAGACTGGCAGAGTGGTAGCCACTCTTGAATCGAGCTGCTGAAATGACCCCGTTTTATTTTAGCTTCATCTGGAGGAGGTGCAGCAGATTTGTATATAAGTGTACAATTGAGGGAGGAGGCAAAGTGCAACAGTTTAACATGGTAGGTGGTATTTTACTTTTTAATTATGGTCCCTCCTCGTTACAACCCAATAAACTGAAATAACAGTTTCGGTATTTTCTTCCTAGTTGACTCTGCCTGTACTAATAGACGATAATTTAACTTTCTGCCTTAAGTAATATTTGTGCTTCCAAGACCTCATACGCCCTTTTCATTGAAATTGATCTTCGTGAAGAGTAGAATACTGCGTTGAAAATCGTTAGTGTTAGTCAGCTAGCATTTGATGGTAGAGATGAATCTGGTAGAGGGACAAGAGAAAAATCCTGCCAACAAAGTCAGCCTGTGACAGTCTGTTTATCTGTTGCCACTAAAGATGTATAGTAAAAATTAAGTTTAAGAAAGCAGTAATGTCAAATTAATTTAAAAAGAAACCGTGTATTTCAAATTTATGGATTATTTTGTTTAATTCTTGTATTGCTGGGATTTTCATTCAAAGTTCACTGTAGCAGCATATTGTTTTTGAAGTGTGTGTTGCAATTAACTGAGAAAATAACAAATATTAAGTAGTTTTCACATGAAAACTACATCTTCTAAGCATAATATGAAGTTTTCTGTACACTACCAAGTTTGTGTTGGGACGAGGTTTAAACCTATAAATAAGATCCTTTTTTTTAACCTATTTTTCCTAAATAGCACATAGTTTTATAGATCTATGCTACGAATAAGATCAGTTTGCAATACATGTATTTCTCTTTTCTACCTGCTACAAGATTTTTGCGGACCAAATTTATATATTTGCTAATTTTAAACTATACTGTTTTACAAACTTAAAAATCCGAGGGAAGAATTGTAGGAAAAATTATCAGCGAAGCACTGGGTTTCTACATTGTATTTAAATGTTCAATTGTAGACTACAGATTATTTCTCTTTAAAGGAGGATTTGATTCTCAGAATAGTTTAGAACATTAATTGGTGTTTTGTATATTTACATTCGATTTTCTGGAGATACTACAAAGCACTTCCTTTAATTAGATTATTCCAGAAACACAGATTAGTTTAAATATCAATTCCACCATAGAATGGACTAGAACAAAACGTACAGAATTTGTTGATGTGGACCAAGTTCTCCTTTAAATCTGTGGACTGTTTCTCATTCTGATTAAATGAATGAACTTCACTGTTGGTGTTTCACGGTTATTATTATTTTTTGTATAAATGTCTTACGAATTTCAGCAGCAGAACTGTGTGGAAATGCTAATAATGCACACTATGCATTCCCAAAATAAAGTCTGGAAAACTTGGTAATAATTGCTTTTAAAAAGACGTTCAATTTTCAGTTGTGTGCGTTAAGAAACAATTCTTTGATCAAGATTTAACTTATTTACTCTGTTTCCAGTAGCTTTGAGTTCATTCTCCAAACTTCCAGACCTTGAGCCAGGGAGGAACACTGCCCTGCTGATAAAAGAGGGAGGCAGAAGCATGGAAAGATCAAAAGCTTAGGATCACACAAGTAAAACCACCCTTCGATTACTTCAGTCGAGGAAGTTTATTTCTCATTTAAGTGCTTTCAGCTAGAACAGAAAATATTGATATAACCATGTATTACCTTTTTCCTTTAAGCCTACTGAGCTGAATGTTGCACCCCGTGAAGTTTGTTCCTCAGGAAGGAGACTAGAAATAATGGTTTCAAAGGTTTGCCCGTGCACAGAGCTGCTGTAGGCAAATGGGGCCCACAGCAGGGTGATAAACTCAGCGGCACCTGAGCAGAACAACATTGATTATCACAGCCCAGAGCACTGCACATCTGTCAGGCGCTAGACAAGAAGGCTGGCTCCACGGAACTAGCTTAGTACCAAGCCACAAAAACACCCAACTGAAAGTTGAACTTTTAAAATGGCTTTAATGAATAAAGGTAGTGATTCTTTAAAAAAAAATTAAGTTAACACAACCCAAGATTAATTTTACAGTGCAGGACTGAGCTCATTTGTACACAAAACATTAATCTCAGCATTTCGATAGCTGAGCTAGTACGCTAATTTTCTGCAGTGATTCACTTCAACTTAACCAGTGTGCTAGCAATGACTTCAGTACAGTAATGAAAATATTAAAAATTATCCTCCGAACTTCTATTTCAATCAAAAGTAATCAAAGATGGAGCTTGTAAGTAGGGCTAAGCATTGTAAACCAAAATATTACTACATCTGTGTTCTCACCACAATCATTGAGGGTGGCAGGTGAGGAAACATACAAATGTAATTACACGGTAAGTTGTTCTGATAATTAGAATTCAATTGGTAACTGGCTGACAGCATGAGAGGTTTTATTTCAGTAATGCCACATGAAATACTGTAATAGGCTTTCTAAAGAACAAGCTGCGTTAGCTTTTGGTAACATCTTGTAGTTCTCAGATACTCTAAAATCAGCTCAATTAGGTCTGTTAAACATTTAAAACTCAGCATAAAAGCTAGAATGGTTGGAATCAGAGTTGAGTTTTTAAAATCCCGTGCTGTAACTTCCAGTTTCACAAAAGCCATAGGTGCAAGCATTCCCTCTGACTTTTGTACAGGCCCCATGTTAGACTCTGGAATTTCTTACAGCCAGCCTCTGGCAGGGTTGAGGAAGAGGACAGCTGTAGATTCTCCTCACTTGTAGCCGTGCAGATTGAGAAGTATGCCAGTGGCCACCTCACATCCTCCTAAAGAAGAAAAATAGGGACTTCGAAGTGCCCACAAGCTTCAGTGGAGCAGGTAGCTGTACTGCTCGATTGATCCTCCCTCCGAGTGTTAGTTTAACTGTGTGTTTAGCGCACTCTGTAAATCCCTCCTGTTAAAGTGACCTACGTTAGCTTGGCCAGGGTATAAAACCAATGTATTGTTTTGCAGAACTAGGCTATGGGAATAGCAGGTGATAAGATTTAATCTGGCTCAGCTACAGCTAGAATAGCATGGCTTCAATTTGTAACACACCAGCCACTCGCTTCACTTGTGGTATCTCACCTTCTGCTCTGTGCAGAGCCAGTAAACCAGCAAAATTTAGGCTTATTCTTTCTGAAAGGGATTATGCACGTCTACCACAGAACAAAAGTCACAGCATTACATGCAATGAATTAACTGAGAAGAGGGTTAGTTCTCGGTGTCTTTAACTGCATCACTCCTAAAATGTTCAGCAATGACAGGGATCCAGGTACAAAGTAGATGTGTATGATTTGAACAAAGCTGGCACAATAGGCATTAAAAGAAGTTGAATCCTTTATTCAAAGGAGGACTTTGTAACTGAAATGTAATACTCATTCCCTTCTCCATCTTCCACAGTATGTTTTGACAGTTTGCCTTTAACTGATAAGCACATTCTGCTTACCTCATTTAGCATGACTTCCAGTTACTACAGATACGAGGCCAGAGGCACATCACAATACAAAGGTACTTTAAAAAACTTAATTCCACTTTTTCTTAAATACTCCTGAGAAGGTAGTTTCTGTTGTCAAAGTAACAGAGATGCCCCACTAAGGGCAAACTTTAAAAATCTGTTTATTAAAATAGTTTCCATTTACAGCTGTAACGTGACATACCCAAGTCTGAGATCTTGCTAGGGCTGAAACACTGATGCTGCATTTTGGTATTACCTACAAAAATATAAGCAAATGCAAGACAGTGTATGTTTACTGCACACAAGCCAATACTATTTGCTAATCCACAATAATCACGGCAAGGTAAGTTTTCAACACGTATTAAATATTCACATTACAACCAAAGGAATAGGACTGATACCACATACCTGAGACACATTATATCAGTGGTAGCAGCTAGAACTGATTTTTTTTTTTTTTTTAATCCCTAAAATGAGACCTAAGTCTCATTTCTATAGCTGCAAAAATCCTTGATTTTTGTGTAGGTGTGTAGGCAACATATCCAGCTTTGCAAAATAAGTCTTCAGCATGCTTAAGGTAAAAGATTAGGAAGTGCCATACAGGTGCAAAGGCATAGCAGTGAGCTCCTCAAGACTTCTTACGTGAGTTTTTCATTAATCTGTAATGTTGTATAACGGAAAAATCCTCTGGTGAGCTTTCTTCAACAGTTCTTCTATTAAAACAATTTTGTAATTGTATGAATCAATGCATTTCTCACCAGATGGGATACAGATTGCATCGGTCCCTCTAAAACCCAAAATTACTGCTCCCTTGACTGAAGCTACTGGAAGTAGTCATAAATAAAAAGTAGCACAAACTAAGTGTGACCTTCTCCCTTAAAACTTAGAATCATGTACAGGTTTGGGCTTTTTTTTTTTAAATTACAGAAAAAAGTAATTAGATTAAACCTTCTGTTACTCCACTTTTAAAATTAGTTTCACATATCAACTGTGGCTCAGCATCTTGGTGTAAATCAGGTCTTTTAAATTCCCTTTACGGACATACCCACTTCTTACAGCCTGTTGAGGAAAACGCTATGTACTGCGAAAAGTGGTCATGTCCTTCGGCTCACTGCTTGGCACACACCAGTCGTCTGCTTCGTGGTTTGCTTTATAGTGTTTCCAGGCTGCTTTGTTATATACAGGGAGTCTTTCAATTGAGTCTGTTGATAAGGCCTGCAAGTAGAGAAGACCGGAGCTGATGATTCTTTTTAATCAAAGTTACCGTAACAGAACAAGGATTTCCATTAGCAGTGAGAGCTGCTGACAGATTGAGCATGGTGAGGTGTTACATCATACCTTTATGTAAATAACTGCATCTGTACCATAGCCTTCTAAGGAATAGAGTTTCAGGTCTCCTTGGAAGTACTGTGCATACAAACGTGATATGGGTAAGCCATAACCAAATCCAGCCTGATCCGGGAGGAAAAAAAAGTGTTTTCATTAATTGCATCAAATCAGTGGAGTGTTCTGTTTTAACCTAATAGGTGAAGAGACAAACTAAGCATGATGTTTGACAGTAAGAGGAGGAGTTCAAATGTTAACTATCATGCCCTCCAGAACTATTACACACCCCAAAACCAGAAGAATGTGTGGATGAATGCAATTATGAGAAAACTACAACACTCCTTTGTCAGGCAGCGCTGCTAGGTAACACTTCTTGTATTACTGTAGGCTCTTCTAGAAGAGGTGACACCATTGGAGGAAACAGTACTGGGGAGCTGCTAATCTTAAGAACAATGAGTACGTCAGTCAGATACATTTCATCATCAGTATATATAAAAAAGGTCCATGAAACAATGCCTGTGAGTTTGTATCTTGCACTAAAATTCTGTCCAGCCCTGTCAGCAGTAGCAGGACAGAGCCCTGAAGTGTTAATTTTTTTTAATCTGCTAAATTTTAGAGGTAATCTCTCAGTGAACATACACACCACTTCTCTCTAACGACCTAGTGTTTAATGAGTTGCACAGTCATCTAGATGCAGAACACGATATACATTTAAATAACGCATTCTGAATGATGCAGTGTCAGAGAATAAATGAAGGAAAGCTGCTCAGAGCTTCTTACTGAGAGTTAAAGCTTTATTTCATGTGCAACTGTTAAGTTCACACAAGACCAAAGTAGATTCTTCATATGCCCTGTTACATACCTTCCTCTTCACTGGGGGATGGTACAACTGACTACACAGTACAAACTGGATTTGATCTGAAATAACTGCTAAAGTTATTTTTCCTTTCATTCAGTGGCCAAGGGAAGAGTTCAGAGTCCCATCCTTTAACTACAGTACATGCAGCGTAGCTAAGTGTTCTGCTTGCGGTAGTTGACCTTTATATTTGGTGCAGAACACCAGATTCTTGAACAAGTGTAAATAATTTCTAGTAGTTTAGGATTTTATGCAATTTTGCAGTCATTTTCAGAAAAATATTTGAATTAAACTATAACATTCAAATGGTGATCCTCATGGTATCTATAAAATCAGTACTTCACAGCTTTGGCTAAATGGTTTCTGTTGTGACATTTAAACATATCCAAGATTACAAGCTATAAAAGATTTGCGTACCAAAGGTGTAGCTCGGGATGTCTCCACACGTGGCCGTGGTGCTGTTGAATACATGTAGTTGAACAGCCTGTCGATTTTTCTCATAGGAACACCTCCACCACGATCGCTCATCTGGAACAAGAAGGAACAGGTAGCATCATGTCCCTGAATACACTTTTATAACAGACAGCTTCTCTCAAACCATGGTCCAGAGAAAGTTCACGTAAAACAGACTACGAAGTTGCCCCTATTAATTTATGGGTTTTCTTAAGGTCTCAGCTACAGCAATGACCAGAGAGAGATGAATCCTTCCCTTTTGTTCCTTATCCAAACCGTTGAAATAAAAAAATACTACCATAAGAAGCATTCATAATAGCTA